GCGAGACCTCATCTCTACAATAAATCAAAAAATTAGCCGGGCATGGTAGCACATGCCTATGATTCCGGCTACTAGGAAGGCTGAGGCAGAAGGATTGCTGGAGCCCAGCAGGTCGAGGCTACGGTGTCCGCTCCCGGCCACTGCACTCCAGTCTGGGCGACAGAGTGAGACTCCAACTCAAAAAAAAAGAAAATGAAAACTATGTACATTGCCCCTTTAAAAATGTCTCTTCAGTAGGACTTTCTGAGACACCATGTACTAAAATGAGAGATTGGCCTGGCATGGTGACTCACACCTCTAAATCCCAGCACTTTGGGAGGCTGAGGCGGGAGGATTACTTGAGGCCAGGAGTTTGAGACCAGCCCAGGCAACATAGCAAGACTTTGTCTCTTAAAAAGTAAATAAATAAAATTACAAAAGAAAAGAACCCATTTTTACCTATCAAGTGTGTGAAAAAACAAGTGTGTCTACCGTTAGTAAGAGGGTTAGAAAGAAAGGGACCCTCATTCTTGTGGTAGGGGGGCACCAATTAGTCCAGCTTCTGGGGACCCTTTGTCTATATATCAGAATTGTAGACAAAAATACTCTTTTGTCCAGAAGCAGTTTGATTTCATTCATTTTCTTCAGCAAATATGAACTGAGGGTCCCATATGTTTGGGGTCTGTTCTAGATGCTGAGTTTGTGCTCTTCCTGTGGAAATAAGACAAGTGTGTCAAGGTGAATGTGTCATCCATGTTTAAGGATGACCTCTGTGTCTCTGCTTGAACTGAAAGCTGTAAATAGCCCCAAAGCATTAACTGGACGTGGTGGTGTGCATCTGTAGTCTCAGCTACTTGGGAGGCTGAGGTGGGAGGATCGTGTGATCCCCAGAGTTCAAGGCTGTGGTGAGCCATGATCACGCCACTGCACTTCAGTCTGGGCAAAAGAGTGAGATCCCAAATCAAAAAATAAATAAATAAATAACCCCAAAGTGCATTAAGAGCGGATTTTCCTAAAGCAGGTGCACCCTTAGCTGGCACACTGTGTGTCTCCTTCAAAGGAGCCAGATGTGTGTGTACTGATTGGAGGAGATGCTGACGAGTTGGCAGGTGAGGAGTGCTAACCTCATGACCGAGCACTGTGGTGCAGTGTATTAAGTAAGAATACACACGTGTACCTCTACTGGGGTGTGCTTAGAACTTGTGAGAAACGAACTGCCAAGTGTAAGACCACTAGGGAGATGAGCAAAGAGAGCAGGGGTGAGGGGGGGAAAACTAGGACTTTATTTTTATTTCTATTTTTTAATTTTTTGAGTTGGAATCTCACTCCGTTGCCCAGGTTGGAGTGCAGTGGCATGTTCACAGCCACCCAGCTTCGCCCTGTTGGGCTCCTGCAATCCTTCCGCCTCAGCCTTCCAAGTAGCGGGAACTACAGGCAGGTGCTACCACACCCGGCTAGTTTTTTTATTTATTGTAGAGACAAGATCTCACCAAGTTTCCTGGGCTGGTCTCAAACCTGCAGGCTCAGGCAATCCACTCGCCTCAGCCTCCCAAAGTGCTGGGATTACAGGCTGAGCCATCACGCCTGGCCTTATTTTTATTTTTAAGAGACAGTGTCTTGCACTGTTGCCCAGGTGGGAATGCAGTGGTGCAATCATGGCTCACTGCAACCCTGAACTGGGCTCAAGTGATCCTCCCACCACAGCTTCCCGGATAGCTGGGACTACAGACACATACCACCATGCCTGGCCACTTTTTTTATTTTTTGGAGAGATGAGGTCAGGGTTTCATCATGTTGCCCAGGCTGGTCTTGAACTCTTGGCTTCAAGCCATCCTCTCTCCTTGATCTCCCAAAGTGCTGGGATTACAAGCACATACCATCGCACCCAGCCGAATTTCATTTTTGCTTTAATTCCTTTCTGTACTGTTTAATTATTTTAAAAATGAAATTGTGTTGTCTCTCACTCAGAAAGCAGATATGTATACAGTGGATCTTCAGAATTCTGAGAACCGAGTGGCCAAACTGCGAGATGAAGGGGAGAGGCTGCGTCTACCTTACGCGTTGCTTCAGGAGGTGTATAAATTAGAGGTATGCCCCAGTAGAAAACAGTCACTCAGCGCTGTGGTTGGGAGAAGTCAGGCTTTCTCCTTCCACCCAGAGAGTTGAGATCTGTTCTTCCTCTGAGTTGTCTTCCTGGGTGAATAAAGATGCTTGTGCCCCTACTCTTTTCCTTCCAGGACGTACTTGACAGTATGTGGGGCATCCTGAGAGCCAGATATGCGGAGCTCAGCAGTCCTTTCGTCACTGAGAGCCAGCAGGATGCTCTGTTGCATGGCATGGCAGAACTCGTGGATATTGGAAAGGAAAAGCTGGCCCGTGACCACAGACAACACACCAAAAGTAAAGGTGCTTTACAGGCTCAAATACAAAACCACAAGGTGAGACACGCAGGTCACATGACCTCCTCAATCACTAAAAGCTCTGGGTTTTTCTGAGCGTGAACAGAAATAAGCCATTTTCTTCCTTGGCGAAATATACAGCATTTATTCATTCTTACTTTTTTTTTTTTTTTTTAAAGCAAATGAAAACTTATTTTTTTATTTGTTTATTTTTTTATTTTGAGGCAAGTCCTCCCTCTGTTGCCCAGGCTGATCTTGATCTCCTGGACTCAAGCGATCCTCCCACCTCAGCCTCCCAAAGTGTTGGTATTACAGGCGTGAACCACTGTGCCCTTCCAGCAATCATCTGTTAGAGTGCTTAGTGTATACAGGACTCTTGGTTAGCTCTAGGGGTAGGATCGTGAGTGGAAATAGCCACAGTTTCTTATATTCATGGAGCTTTCAGCTGACTGACAAGGCAGACATTTATCAACAAGTCTTCAAATACATTTAAAATTAAAATTAGTATATATTCTATGAGAGTATTTAATAGGAGAAATTGACTTAGAGAGGTTAATAACTTTGAACTGGAATCAAAAGGAAGATGAACTATTATGTGGTATAATACTACAATAAATCCTTTTATTTTAGATGTTCATTTCATGAAGCAAAAATCTCTTGATCACCAATTCAATATATGCAGTAATCTAGGTGCTGCTAGCAGAAAAGGCTGGACGGATACAGTGGCTCACGCCTATAATCCCAGCACTTTGGGAAGCTGAAGTGAGAAGACTGCCTGAGCCCACAGGTTCGAGACCAGCCTGGGCAACTTGGCGAGACTTTGTTTCTACAAATAATTTTTAAAATTATCTGTTCATGGCGGTGCATGCCTGTAGTTCCAGCTACTTGCAAGGCTGAGGCAGACCGATTGCCTGAGCCCAGCAGTTTGAGGCTGCTGTGGCAATGAGATGCCATGCACTCCAGCCTGGGCAACAAGGTGAGATTCTGACTAAAAAAGAAAGAAAAAAAATACGTAAGACATAGTCCTGTACCTTCAGCAAGCTCACAGTCTAGGGCCTTTGGAAAGTAGACTCGGTCTAAGAAAAAATGAAAGGTAAATATTATATAAAGGCCTGGGTGTGGTGACTCACGCCTGTAACCACATTACTATGGAAGGCCAAGGTGGGCAGACTGCATGAGCCCAGCATTTTCAGACCAGCCTGTGCAACATGGCAAAGGCTCATCTCTACAAAAAAATAAAAATATTAGTCAGGCATGGTGGTGCATGCCTGTAATCCCATCTACTCAGGAAGCTGAGGGGAAAAGATCACCTGAGCCCAAGAGGCCAAGGCTGCCATGAGCCGTGATCATCATGGGCATGCCACTGCACTTCAGCCTGGGCAACAGAGTGAGACCCCCAATTCAAAAAATGTATATATATTATATAAAGGATGGAGAGAAAACGGAGAAAATATTATTGATTGTTTACAATGCGCCAGAACCTTTGCTAGATGCTTTTATTCATTCATTTATTGAGTCGAGGTGTCAGTTGTCACCCAGGCTAGAGTGCAGTGGCATGATCACAGCTCACTTCAGCCTCCACCTCCTGGGCTCAGGAGTTCCTCCTGCCTCAGCCTCCCGAATAACTGAGACTACAGGCTCATGCCAGCTAGATGCTTTTATAAACCTCTATTCATCTGTCCTTTTCAAGGCACAGGAGAAGTGATTCTCATAATATGGGGTTCCCTGAAAGCAACAGAGGAGGCAACTGATATAAAGAAGAAGAAGCATATGAAGCAAAGTCTTCCTCTTGAAAGGTTGCTGAAGTACAAATATGGAGACCTTTATGGACTAGAAGCCCCATCAGCCAATTCCCCTTATTTAGCCATTTTGTTGAGAGTAAGTTAGACAGGGTTCCGGAGCCCTGTCTGTTGAATATGCAGGCTGCTTGGGTTTGCACATCTCTCAATCCAACTTACTGTCTTGAAATTCATCAGTCACGTTGGTGTCTACTTTTTTTTTTTTCAAGTGGTAGTCTCACTCTGTCACCCAGGCTGGAGTGCAGTGGCATGATCACGGCTCACCACAGCCTCAAACTTCTGGGCTCAGGTGATCCTTCCACCGCAGCCTCCTGAGTAGCTGGGACTATAGACACATGCCACCACACCTGGCTAATTTTTTTTTGTAGAGAGGAGGTCTCGCTATGTTGCCCAGGCTGGTGTCAAACTCCTGACCTTAAGCAAGCCTGCTGCCTCAGCCTCTGAAAGTTCTGGGATTGCAAGTGTGAGACATTGTGTCTGCTGCCTCAGTCTCCCAAAGTGCTGGGGTTACAAGTGTGAGACATTGTGTCCAGTCAATATCTTTTTTTTTTTTGAGTCAGTGTATCAGCCAGGCGTAGTGGCTCATAATCCCAGCACTTTGGGAGGCTGAGGCGAGAGGATTGCCTGTGTCCACCGGCTCAAGACTGGCCTGGGCAACATGGTGAGACCTCGTCTCTACAATAAATAAATAAATAATTCAGCTGGGCATGGTGGCACAGACCTGTAGTTCCAGCTACTTAGAAGGTTGAGGCGGAAGGATCACCTGAACCCAGTAGGTCAAGACTGAGGTGGCCATGAACGTGCCGCTGCACTCCAGAATGGGCATCAGGGTGAGAATCTGACTTTAAAAAAAAAAAAAAAAAAGTCAGGGTCTTGCTATGTTACCCAGGCTGGCCTCAAACTCCTGCACTCAAGTGATCCTCCTGCCTCAGTCTCTCCAGTATTTGGGAGTACAGGCACGTGCCACCACATCTGACTGGCATCTGTTTTTTGGTAACATTTTAAAAACTCAAAACAAGCCGGGCTCGGTGGCTCAGCCTGTAATCCCACGCCTTTGGGAGGCTGAGGT